CCTCTTTCGTCATTCCTAAAAACAAGAATGAAGAAATTAGAGCCGTCTAGATGAGGAGTCCGAGACATCTATTTTCAAGAAAATGGGGACGTCAAGAAGTCTAGATTAAAGTTTCTTACCCAATACATTCTCATCAGCGTTTTCCTGCAGTGCTGTGAACAAAGAGGGGAAAGAAGTTCAGTGCCTAATTTCTAACCGAGTCACAAGGTCCACATTCTCCCGAAAAAGAACCTTGAGACTAGGAGCATTTGTAAGTTGGAAACTTCGCAATTACGATTGAGGAAATAATCTTTTTCTTTTACACTGACAGATTGAGCGATCTAGTCTCGCACACAGATTGGTCGAGAGCCATATTGTCGATATGGGAACAAACTATGGAGACGACATCATGAAAGGCTTGTTTGTTCGATAAGAGTAAAGTACATGGACGACAACAGTTGTTAATTGATTTGTTATTTAGAGTCAGGGAAGTCATCAAGGCTTTTGCAAGTGACAGAGGATTACTAAGTAAAGGAACTGAGGTCTGCGGTGGCGTAACATTTCAGAGAGTATGCATCAACAAATCCTTCTATGACTATGACTACGTTATTTAAACCAACCTTTTTTAGCTTCTTTGATGCTGCAACCCAGCATGTCATCTTTATAACTTTCATAATACTCTTGGAATCCATTCACCGCCTCACACTGTTCCTTACAGGTCAAATTCTTTTGTGGTTTTACCAACCTGTAGTTGTAATGCGACTTGACCTCCCGCAGATACTTTGCATGGGTATCTGACGGTCTTAAATCGCTATGAGACAGAAGATAAACCAAAAAACCGAAAAATTCAGCCTCTTGATTTCATAACGGACATCAATCATAAACAGACATCAACCATAGACAGACTTCAAATTCATCAAAAGTAAATGTACATGATTCCTCAATATATATATATTTCGTTCTGTTCCCTTTCACTGTTTTGCACCCTAAATGATTACCTAATACATTATAATATTTACCCCATTGCTCCGTCATTGACTTGTGCATGTATATTTTCTATTCATTTGTTGGAGGTAATAATTAAACTGAGAGAACTCATTCCATATAAACCGTACAAGGACCGGCTGAATTAACACGTGTCCGACATGTGTAAGTAATTCTGATGAAACGCACACTATTTAACTTCTTACTTTCCACAGGTAAATTGGCTCAGAAAACTGACAGTGAATATATTGTATAAATTGTTTGCCACAACACTCATGTAGTTGTGAGCGCCGAACATAATCATTGTATAACAATGAAAGAGTAAACCTAACAACCTATCTTCATTTATTTCTTGTTTGTCCCGTCAATAGACATTTTAACATCGCTTTTGTTTGCTGGTTTGTCCCTAATATCTGCTTCTCAGCCCTTTTTCGTCAATGTTACAATAGGGATTATTCTGCTCACCGACCTGTTACAATGATACTCATCTTTCTCGCATCGAACCCGTTCTCCTTTACCACACACTAAAACTTGCTAGTCATCTCACAAATGGGCGTCACATTCTAAATGATACACTTTACTCAGTTCGTTACAACGTTTTAAGCTAGTGTTCCTTTAACCAGCAGTCTTAATCGGTGTTGAATCCTGACTTACAATGATTGAAGCTGTACCAAATTAAAAAAGAGCGGTGAAAAACACAACAAAACACAATGTGAAGTGATCCGTGTTGAATAATCTAAGTTAAAATGGATAATAAATATATTACAGAAGGTATGTAGAAGGATAATTCAATTCGTCACTTTTGGTAAAAAGAAGAGAGTGACTTAATCGCCTGATTTTATATTTACCTGTATCGTGCCACTTGATGGGTTTGCGTGCCATTTGTCAGCCTCCTCCTTAAGTTCAAATCGGCCAGTCTCAAAAGACTCTTCTGGCTTTAGCAGAAAGGCTCCCCGTACTGCCAAGAAGAGGAAACACAGCCTGGCTGTGTCGTACAGGGAGCCTTTCTTCAGAGGTGTAAAGTGGAATGGACGTCTGCAAGTGAATGATGAAAAAAAATAGTCAGATGATTAAATAACTAATGCATCGTGGTTTGGGCTATGATAGGCTTCATGTCCGCGAAATCTACAAGCCCAGCAGCTGATTTGTGTATTGTACCATATCCGGTGGCAAGGAATGTTCAGTATTTCCATGAAAAATTGGTCTAACCTGTACAATTTTTGTTTATTGCGTCTTGCTTCTCGTGGCAAAACACCAGAGTAAGCAGCAGCTGGTTATTTTCATCTTTTCTGTTTAGAGGAACAAATAAGTTGGCTTTAAAAAAAAATAGCAGTAATTTGCATCCAGAGTATCAAGTTCATCTCTCTAGGAAGTGTATACGAACATCCTGAAAACGTTTCTTGTAGGGACTTCAGTATATGGACATGTGCAGTCACCCTTTCAGACCTGATAGCGGTAGATTTCTTAATTCCGTGAACCATCCAATCTTACCTAAACCTTAAATGGTCCAGAGTCATGTTTGGCTCCTGCAGCTAGTTTTCGATGGCCAATTCTTGGATTACTTGCTCTGCGGACCCATGCCTCTTTCCTTTGGCCAGAGAACCATGCCTGCATCCCGAGTGGAAAGATGCTGACAAAAAAAAAGCCACTATAACGATCGAGACACAAAAAAAACCCAAAAAATCAGTAGCATAATAAAACGCAAAATTAGAAAAAAAAAATAGATCAATTGGTAGAGAGTCATGTTGGGTTCCTTAACGTAGTTCTCGGGGGCTAATTCTTGCATGACTTCCTCAGCTCTCCCACACCTCTTTCCCTTTGCAAGGGACCCCCGAGGGCATTGAGAATGAAATGATGCTGACAAAAAAAGCCACTGTAACGACCGAGATACCAAAAAAAACATCAGTATCATTATATAACATAACATAACATAACATACATGTTTATTCAAACTCATAATGACCACATGAATTTGAAAGGGAGAGTCTAGAGGTTAACCCTATGAATAAAACTCTCCTAAAAACAACAAACAAACAATAAAAATTACAACTTTAAAAAGGATTTGAGTTTACATTTAAAAAGTTCAAGGGAACCGGCTTCAACAACATTACTAGGTAAATTGTTCCAGTAACTAATTACATTGTTAAAAAAAGAATATTTAAAACAGTTGATTCTAGATAATTTACAATAAAGCTTATACGAGTGATTTGCCCTAGTGGATTTGACTTTTGCGAATTGAAAGAATTCCTCAAAATCCAAGTGTGATAAGCCAAACACGATCTTATAACATTCAACAAGAGAGGAATATGTCCTACGACTGGACAAAGATGGCCAATGTAACGAGTCACAACGCTCTTCATAAGACATATCACCTCTTTTTTGCCTAAGAGCTAATCTTGACGCGCGTCTTTGCACGCTCTCTATTGCATGAATATCTTTGACAAGATATGGGTTCCAGACTGGAGCAGCATACTCTAGAAGTGGTCTGACCAATGTTTTGTAAAGCAGTGAAAAAGTTGTTGTATTAGCTGTTCCATTCATTTCCCTTCAGTAAATCTAAAACGTGAGTTAAAATGCAAAGTTGGAAAGAAATGATAATAACAACTATCCTACTTTTCCTGCAATTGTTGGGGAGTTTGGATGCCACAGGTGTCAATCAGGTGTTCCGCATCCTGTGACATAATCTGTTCCCTATGAAATTTTTTTGTGGTATCACAGGTGGCAAGGTGATACCACGTAATAGATGTCGCTATGGACGGATACAGTTTCCTTTGGCTTTGCATGTAGTAGCACAGGTGCTGGGAAGAAAATAGCACTACAGGAAAGCATCAATTTGGCTAAGGCTCTCTTAGCAGGATTCTTCTCGATGGCATGATACTGCAGCTGAACTCCTTCGTGCTCTAGGTATTGAGCGATGTATTCCTGGCGTTTTGCTTCATCTGTACCTACAGGAGTGGGCCAGCCATCGGCCTCTTCCTTGAGCTTGAGGAACGTGTTGATGTATTGGGCGAACAAACTCGTGGAGGTTTGTGGGAAATGCCAAATCTCGTGGATTTTGAGTATGTCATACCCCTGGGTTAAGGCTTCTTGGAGCTCTGGCGTGCACTAAGTGCCGTTCAGGGCGCAGGCGGCTTCGGAATGACTGCAATGGTGGCTACACCGCAAGAACGGCTTCCCAAGTTCTTCCTCAACACAACTTTTGCACAAGGGAAAAAGCAATTTTCCCTGGCTCCGGTAGGGTAGAACGGACAAGTACAAGCCATAAGGTGGCAGTATTGTGCACTTCACGAGGCCAAAGTAAGGAGACGGGTCTGAGGATTCAGGCTCCATGAGGATGACAAGATGTCCCACGGGGTAACGGCAGTTCTTGTTCACCCAGGGGTATAATGAGGTGAAATCCAGGTAATGAATGAACTCGCCTTTCTCCGGGTCAGCGGTGGCGTACAGTTTCACAGCTTCGGTGCGTCCTCCGTAGAACGTGTCTCGGGGTTCGAGGTGGTCCACGAGACCTAACCCTTGGATATCATCGCGGTATGCCTTGAGTCGATTCCACTCGCACTCCCACATGGTTTGGAGAGAGTACCCAGATTGGAGGATGGCTCGGTCCCACGCCTGGGTGCGCTGGTACAGGTCATCCATAGTTTGTCTGTCGTGCATCCGGATCTGGGCATGGCGGTTCGGAAAACAGGTGGGGCACCCGTGGAAGAAGCATCCATGGAATTCGTACACGGTGCGACTGACAGCGTTGTACCGGTCCACGCAAAGGGGTTTGTTGGCAATCAGGAGGGTCTGTTCACCTTTATTTTTGGCGTGCTGGATTTGGTCTGCTTCCATGAACGGATGTTGGTACTCTGGGTAAGCTTCCGCCATGGCATCGTGCTGCTCCCACTCTTCCTGGGTGATGGCGTCATGCCTGGCTTCTCTCTGTACGTGTTCTTGCCAATGGAGCCATTCCATGGCAGCGCGGGAATAAGGCTTTCCCTTGTGTTTGCGGAAAAAACGGTTGCAAGCACTGGCAATGGTGATGCAATGTTCGAAGGGGTTAAACCCTGCCAGTTGCTGGAATTCATGGGCAAATTTCACACACCCTTCCTTGAGGAGGCAGACATTGGATTCGCAATAGGTCAACAGTTCCTCTTGAAAGTTGAACTCGTAATGTTCTGCCACACGGGCAGCATGCCATTCCTCAAATTCTGCTTTTCTCGTCGTGCTCATGCCTTCAGGATCGTAGTAGCCACGGGTAAGAATAGGTCCTATGTAGTGTTCATGTTCTTTCACATTAAAAAAATGGGAGAAAAAACCGTTTTTCAGTTCGCATAAGCCAAAGGCCTTGGGAAAACTGGAGAGTGCCATCCGCAAGAAGGACAAACTGTCGAGGAACTTGAGGCCCCCAAACGACAGAGACAAAATCTTGGTACCATTGGCCAGTTGGTCCAGTTTGAGGTACTTGGCATGACATTGTTCCAACACGAAATAAGAATCGTATCCTTTGAAATTATGCGCAATGCATATCACTTTTCTCCTAACGTCGGGGTTATTGGTCTGCATCGAAGTCTGGGCCCAGTCTAAGAAGGCCTCTATACAATGGTCGCCATGAAAGGTGAACTGTTCATCACTTTCATGATGTTCCCTCTTCCTCAGCTTCATCATTATCATCAAGGCTACTGGTGTTGGCTTGCAGGGTGCCAGTCCTGCGGCGGCCCCACGGCAGCGACAACTGGTGGGCCGGGGAACCTGTTTCACAATCGGTTGAATGTAACAACGGTGTCGGTGGGTACGACCTCCTTACACGACGGGCATTTGCTGTACCTGCAACAGTGTCTTTGACCGGTCAGGAGCTTTTGGCACAGAGTCTGGCAGGATTGACAGGGCTGATGGGTGTTGGAGACGGTTGTCTGCGGTACAGCCACACGTCCAGCACTGGTATGGGTCTGATGGTTGAGGAGGCACTCGGGTCCGAAGAAGACAGAATGACATTATTTGCACGGCACGGAGGCGGGTCCTTGGGCAGCGGCAAAGTCAAGGCAATTGGTTTGGTGGCAACATTGGCATTTTCGGCTGGGGCACCTGTGGTGCCTCAAGTCATTGTTGTTGAAACCCTTTTCGCATTCCAAACAGTAGTAGTTTTTGCCAAAGAACCCGGCCAGGGGGTGGCATACATGGAAATGGTTTTGGACTTTGATGAGACACAACAATTTGTTGTCGGGTTGGTGAGGGCCTTTGAAGATGATCTGGTAGCCGTGATCGGCAGAGACGACCACGATCTGATAATCCGCCAGGACTATCTGGAACAAATTTAACTCTCCAATTCCACAAGGGCCTTCTGGGACTCGAGCACGACGATGTAACTGTCTGGCCAACTGTCCTTGGATGGGGTGCCCCCTTCTCACGTTATCGTATTGCCAATGTCGGCAACCCCAATCTCGGTAGGCTTTGGCGGCGACCAGCGCACAGGCACAACACAGCTCGTCCAGATTTTGAATGCTTATGACGGACTTTTTGGATTGCAGGAATTGTTCTATGGGCTGGGTGCCGGGTCGTTTCCCTCGAGGGTACGAATGGAACCCTTCTTCGACAAGATTTACGCGCATGACGTCTCGATTTCCCATTCTCGCCCCCAGAAGCGCTATCATAGGATCCAAAGCCTTTCCCAGCAAAGCTCACGACGCCATGAAGAATCTGTTCGAGCGGACAAGTCAGACCTAAAAGTCATGTAGGCAATAGTTATTTATCATATTTAATGAACACTCTTTTGAGACTCTCTTTTAAGACTCTTTTGTTTTTATACAATAGTTTTTTTGGAGAACAATACTCTTGCACACCATTATATTTTGTGAACAATACTCTTGGACAATAATCCTCTTTTACCAGAACACCTCTTTTTTAAACAATACTTTGGTCAAGCAAGATCACAGGCAGATACCTGCAAACCAATCAACGAGAATTGTTGGACACCACTATTATGAGTACTCGACAATACTTCTATTTTGGAGAACACTAGAATACTAGTTTATGAAAATGTATCTGAGCACCCCCCAGCAGACCCCATCAACCCATCGGTGGTTCAACATGATCAAGCTATACGCTTTCAGTGGAGATTACTGTTTTGTGTGGGGAAAAAATACATTTTAGAGGCAAAGACTATTTTTATGACTAAAAACTTTTTTTATAGAGGCAGCTACTATGATTATGAGCAACTACTATTTTTTTTATAGGGGCAACTACTATGTTTATGGCAACTACTATTTTTTTTCATAGAGGTAACTACTATGATTATGAGCAACTACTATTTTTTTATAGGGGCAACTACTATGTTTATGGGCAACTACTATTTTTTTCATACAGGTAACTACTATGTTTATGGGCAACTACTGTTTTTTTCATACAGGTAACTACTATGATTATGAGCAGCTACTATTTTTTTCATAGGGGCAACTACTATGTTTATGGGCAACTACTTTTTTTTATATAGGTAACTACTATGATTATGAGCAACTACTATTTTTTTTATAGGGGCAAATACTCCGACTACTTCTATTAAGGTAAACTCTACAATACTTCTATTTTCGGCAACACTACTTTTTAGAGGATAAAAGAGAAGAAGAAACACCAATGAACCTTCTTCACAAGTGGTCAGCACAAGGCAGCTCTCAATACATCGGAGAATATGTTTGGTCAAGTACTATGTACATCTGCACAACATGATGCCGAGCACATGCGAAACGGCATCCTTCCTAAAAAGAGAACCTTTTTCTTGTGATGCTTCCATGGCGATCTCTCACGGGAGTGCCTTCCTGCGCATGCGCTTGGGTTGTATGTATATTAGTCCAGTTCGGTGACGCCAAACAGACAATTAATTGGGTTGACTGTGCCGTTTTTCTCTTGGAGAATTAGCAACACATTTTCTAGGGATCTGTCATTCTCTTCCTTGGTGGTACCATGGACGAGAATGTCGTCAACAATGTTCCTTACATTATGGCATCCCTCGAGGACTTGCCCAATTATGTGTTCACATATTTCAGAGCCTTCTGATGCTCCATATGGTAAACGCTTGTAACGGCAGAGGCCAGCATGTGTTTTGAATGTTGTCAGGTGACGAGACGATTCAGCAAGTTCAATTTGGTGATAGCATTCCTTAAGATCAATTTTGGAAAAGAACTTGGAGCCGTTTAGGTCTTGGAGAGTTTCTTCGGATGTTGGGTATGGGTGGTGTGTACGGCGGAGAGCTTCGTTGGGCTTGCACATGTTTACACACAGTTGTATGTCACCATTCGGCTTGTCAACAATGACAAGTGGTGACACCCATGTTGTCGGGCCCGTAACCTCTTCGATGATATCTTGATCTTCAAGCTGTTTCAGCTTGTCTTCCACCTTGACATGGTAATGTAAGGGTGTAGGATGGGAATTTTGCACCACCTGTTGTACATTTGAGTCAATGTTGAGCTCAAGTTGGTAATCGTTTTAGTTTCTCGATTTTGCCACTGAACAATGCTGGGAACTTCTGTAAAAGGTACTGGTATTCACCGTATACAGGTGAATGTTCAGTGGTTGTAAAGGCAGCGATAGGCAACATTCCTAGCGAGGTTGAGGTTTCACGACACGGGAGACTGCCAGCATTTTGTGCTTTGAGTACCAGGAACCTGGTCAGGTCCATCTGCCCTGACGGAGTATTGATCATTCCGAAAAACGATCTAGCGAAGGGAATCGGGGCAGGGTTGTCTTCTCCATGAGGGCGAAGTTTCACATTGGTTGGTATTAAGCGCACTGTTTTGCAGCACTGATCGTCTGATATGTTGCATAGTCAATGGTGTTCGCTGTTACACCAGAATCAATAACTTGAACTGGGGTTCCTTTAATGGTAACTGTGATGTCTGCTTTTGCTTGGTTAGGGTTGAGATGAAATGCCTCATGACAGTCATCCTGATCTGAAGAATTAAAAACCTTCCAGGCCTTGGGTATCTCTGCCTGTTTGGCATTTGGGTGACCTGGATTTGAGCTTCTTTTCATACATACGCGTCCAAAATGGTGTGGCATTCTGCACTGAGAGTACGTCTTACGAAAAGCGGGGAATCTGGGAGTTCATGGCTGGTGGTGGTGCTGGTTACCGCAAAGCGTACGTCGTTGCCACTTCTCCAAAGTGAAATTCACTTGTTCTTCTTCACTGATGGTTGGCATTGTCAGTTGGCGAGTATTTTCCGAGCGTTCCTGGGATGAGGCATTCTCAATGTTCACCACCTGAAAATTGGCCGACTCCATGGAGCGAGCAATATCCAACTATGAATTGAGAGAAGCAGTGGATTTTTCGCAAAGGAGGCATCAACGAAGTGTGGTGGAATGACAATGTTCAATTAACTGGTCCTTAATAGCCTCGTCGAGTGAGTATTTATCAGTCACAATGCTCACCCAGTCAGCCTAGTCGTCTGACGTATTGAGCAATTGATTCATTTGGCACTTGATGAGTCTGGCCAAAGGTTTGTCTTTCGAATTGTAAGCTCTTCTGAGGAGAGAAGTGCGTGTTCAGTGAAGTAAGCGCCTCCGTGTAAGTGAGAAAATATATGATTATTGAAGGCCACTACCGACTAAGGCATTTAACTGGTGACTTAAACGTTACTGTTAATAGTAGCAATTGACTTGGGTGACTAACTATAGATATCTGGGAAAAGAGTTTGACGAGGCATTGGGGGTGGCAATCTCAAGTACATACCATCTGTAAAAAGGTATCTGCTGGTACAGGGACCTTAAAACGTATTCGTCCCCTGGTGCCTTGGCAAACCCTACTGAGAATGTATGAGGCTTTAGTCGCTCCTTATTTTGATTATTGCTCTGAAGTTCTGGGATGTATGGGAAAAGGCCCGTGTGACAGACTTCAGAGATTGCTAAATAGGGCTGGGAGAATTAACTTAAATGATGTCAGCGGCGATTTATAAGATTTCTTTGATTGTTTTCCTGTTGGGTTTTAAACTTACTTTAATCTCCCCTTCCTGGACTCCATTCTTCTTCCTTTTCTTCCTTGGAAGCTCTAGGCTTTCTTTCCTCGGAGAAAATCGCTTTAGATACACGTTTCGCCATTGCTCTGTCAAACTTTCCACACTTTCCCTTTATGCATGGTGTGAATGTGTATTTAGCAGTTTTTGCAAAGCCTAAGAGACGGTTTATGTTGAACTGTACTCCGCAAAACGGTTTTTGTAGTACTGCTGTACTAAGCCGGAAAAAACTATCGTTTGGAGCAATGTACTCCCCACACGACTTACTATAGTTATTCGGGTTATTAGCGTGTACGTTTTCAGAAGGAAGAAAAGCTGATGAAATCGGTGGCTTTTTTTCCTTTGGCAAATTTTTGGCCATATTAAAATTAGGAAAATAGCAATCAAACTCGGCAGCAGATCAGAGTTGTCGCAATTTTTTTATTCCCGCGAAACTCGCGCCATTTGACGACAGACCTGACGATTAATTTTGTTTGTGAATCGCATTACGAATTTCGCGCATGCTCGATGGATAATTGAATAATAATAATAACCTTTATTTTAAGAGGGTGACACCAATTACTATGAAAAGTATTCTCCCCAGTGGCCCTCTAAAAACAAAATTGATAATAATAAATTACAAAAATCGTGATAAAAAGCCTATTTACAAATAATAATTATGATAAAAGATCTTAATAATTCCAGTATTCTCCCTCCCTAGTGGCCCTCTAAAAACAAAATTGTTAACAATCAAATTACATTAATCATGGTAAAAAGCCTATTACAAATAGTGATTACAATAAAAGGTTCTTAAAAATTCTAAAGATTTAAAAAATTGAGAGGTGTTAATAACCGAAGTGAATACGTTGGTAAAAAGGGGAATCCAATCTACAATGATATTTAAAAAAAGCACGGATTTTTAAAAATCAGAATAACTTTTTAACTTTAAAATTGTCCACGGTATATTACAGCATTGTATATGTATAATTTATGGTCTTTGACATTGTTCTAAAAAGACTGCTTACCAATGCCTTCTTAACTATTTAGAGAGAAAAATGTAGCTGGAAATCTTGCCTGAGATTGTTTTTTTGGTCATGATTTGATAATTGTGTCTCTGATAATTAACTTAGTGTTTCCCTTCCTCAAAATAAATCCCATTCTCAAGTTACCAAGGGTGGTAGTTGCCTCTTAATATCCCAACAACTTTTTGTTTTCAGTTGTAGGTATCTTTTTGCAGTTGAATGCTGGACTGGTTGAGGGAGAGGCATACAAAAGGCCCCTGCTGTCCAGTCACGATAAGGCTTTACGAGCCATTCAAGACAAGGCACAGGTGAAGTGTATTTTTAGATTCATTACTTTGGACCGAAAATGTAAAAGTAAGGATATTTTCTTATTAATCTGTTATTGACCTTGGAAGCTTATTTTTTAAGGTCTTTCTTATTATACCTTCATTGCAATTTTCACTTTTTTTCTCACTTCTTCTTTGTTTGTTGTGGCCAAAGCTTTCTCATAATTGTTTATAGAATGAGGATGGCAACTGTATCCAAGGACCATACCAGACATCAGTGAGGAGTAACTTGCTCCACTTAATTTAAGTTGAAGACCATTCGCTTTTTGCATTGAGCAGTTTTTCTGCCAATGAAACATCATTAGATAAATATGATTAATTTTTTCAAGATCCTATCATTTTTTCCCATGACAAATAATCTCTGAGTGTGTGGATGGTTGTTCACATGTAACAAGTCTACTTTCAAATACTTTCAAAGTTTTATTTGTATTCTGTTATCACCAGAGACAGATTCCTTATTTTTCTTTTTTTAAAAGATTATTTCTCTTGGAAGAAAGAAGGAAAAAAATAGTGTTGTTCATATAAGTTGGCGTCTTCTCCCTTATCCTTTAATGTGGTTTAATTCTATTATGATGTGTGTAAGTAGTTTTAACATCATTTTTGTTCGTAGGAAATGGGGACCATACCTGATTTCTGAAAAAGCTGAGGTTATGCAGAAGAGAAACTACTCTTATCCGCTGGAGATTGCATCTCTTAATGGAGGGGGTTTGTTTGTCATCATTCAAGGTAGCCTGGAAGATGTCTTCAAACAGGCCTGGAGCATGAACTTCACAGAATTTCTCCATTTCGTCTGGATCATACAAGTTCTTTCCCCCCTTTGCATAATGTGTAACCAAAGACTTGTGTAATTGGTGAACAAGAGTGCTGAATGTTGTGTCTCCTTTAGCAGAGAGAAATATTTATAAGAGTAAAAGTTGTTATGGTTTTGTAGTCAGGGGTGAAAATGCCCACAATTTACACTCTAAATTAATTTATTTATAATTGGTTCCCCAAACTTGTGCTAACTAAAAATACCTTCTTTGTATCAAACAAAATGAATGTGATATGAATCAGGGCACGGTCAAAGTTAACAGAACTGTGTGCTAGTGATGTGTTGTTCTCCTGGAACAAAAACATTTTTCCCTCTACCTCAAGCTTAATCAGGAATATGAAAACATTTAGCTTAGTTTTTGGAATATTTGTTTTATCCCTGTCAAAGTTATATCTTGGTTAAGCAGACTGTAAGGATGCATAAGTGCACAAAGGAAGGTAAAACTTGTTGCCTTTAAACAGGGTTTACCTTGTACTGGAAAGCATGATGTTCTCTTCCCTCAAATCCTTATTTAATTCATGCTGCTGGCTTTGTTTTTCCAGCAAGTTTTTGTTATGCTTTAAAACTTCTGTTGAAATAATAGCGATATTAGCAACCTTGGTTGCTAGGCTACACAGCTGTAATACTGACCAAGATATCTGTTTAAAGTTATTATAGTCAGCTGATGGGTGGATGCAGTTTGCAGTGACGTTAATTGTATAGTTATTTCATTAAAAGGAACCACGTGACACCTACTACATTGTATTTTAGAGAGTGAGAAATTTATTAGTGTCAATTGTTTTTCCTGGGCACAGATCAAAAACATATTACACTTCTCAAAATGTAATTTGTAAGTTAATGAAGCTATTGTTTTGGAACCTGAAAGCAATCTATTATTTTTATTTATCAATGTTTTTTTTTACACTGGTTAAAGTTTAAGAATGTGAGTTAATTGCTGGTTGCACTCCCCCTGTTACAGCATCACATATTGTAACTGACAAACCAACTCATAATACCTTTTAGTACTAGAGGATAATAAAATTTGGGGGAAGGGGGGGAATAATCTAGGGCATAAGAGGATGTTTTCTACCCAAGAAACATATATGGGTAGTGTTATATCAAGAATGTTAATTATGAACTGCCATATTTCTTGTTCACACCTTTAAAAACTCATTTGAGCTGTAAAAAGCGATTTAAAGGAGTAATTAAACTTACAGCACTTCAAACTTCGACTCGAAGACGCCTTCCTTGTTGTTCTCAAGTTGTAAAAGTGAAAGTTCAACTTTAAAGAGCTCTAAAAAACTTTCATAGAAACGAAAAAAAAAGTCATATTTGATATGTTTCACATAAACTATTTACCCCCAACATTTCTCTTTCCTGACCTTAAAGAGTAAGCGACCACCTTAAGAAACGCAAAAAACCTGCCCTTCTTCGAAACAACAAGCTTCAAAATAGGCTCCGAAGCTGGTCACAAATATCACTGCTTTAGAGAACCTGTTTAAGTCCGATCTTTTCGTTAGCGTCGCCAAGACATGGCTGAATGCTGACAGATTCCGTTTAACGATGTTGAAAAATTCTCAGAGCGAGGACAGCGGCTTGGCAGCGTCCGCTGTGAAGTGTTAGATTCTGATTAGTCCTCCGCCATTTTGAAAATCGAACGGCGGGAATACAAAAAACAGTGGCGAGACCTCTAGTGCGCATGTCTTGCGGTTTTTGCGCTCTGTCATTGTTTGTGTTGTATCGTTTAGGTATAATAGAGAATTTGTCTTATAAGCGTAAAATAACAGAATTTCTATATGTTACAGTCTGCAAAAATTGGAAATAAAGAAATATCAAGGTATGTATTGTGCCTTTTAGTTTTTATAGTGCATGTTCGTTCATTATAAGCGTCAAATATTAAAATTTGTATATTTTACAGTCTGGAAATAAACAAATATAATAGTGTATTTGCCTTCATTACAGTCTGCAGAATTTGGAAATAAACAAATACCAAGGTTTGTGTTGTGTGTTTTAGTTATAACACTGTATTTGGCTTTATAAGCATCAAATGTTAAAATTTCTATATTTTACAGTCTGCAAAAATTGGAAATTAAAAAATGTCAAGGTTCGTATGGTGGCTTTTAAATGTCCTAAGGAATTTGTCTTCATTAATAGCCTTAAATAGCAAAATTTCTATATTTTATAGTCTGCAATATTTGGAAATAATGATATGTCAAAGTTTGTGTTGTGTCTTTAAGGTATAATAGTGAACTTGCCTTCAATATAAGCGTCAATTATCAAAGTTTCTACATTTTACAGTCTACAAACTTTGAAAATTACTAAATATCAAGATTTGTATTGTGTCTTTTAGGTATAATGCTGCATTTGGCTTCATTATGAGCATCAAATATCAAAATTTTTGCATTTTGCAGTCTGCCAAAATTTGGCAGTTAACAAAAATAAAGGTTTGTGTTGTGTCGTTTAGGGATAATAGAGAATTTGTCTTCATTATAAGCGTCAAATATCAAAATTTCTATATTTTACAGTTTGCAAAATTTGGAAATAAATAAAATACAAAGGTTTGTATGGTGTCTTTTAGGTGTAATACAGAATTTGTCTTGGACATTACGAGCGTCAAATATCAAAATTTATACATTTTACAGTGTACAAAAGTTGGAAATTATCAACTCTCAAGGTTTGTAAAGTGTCTTTTTGGTATAATAGAGAATTCATTATCAGTAGTTGAGCAAAGTCCCCTTTATAAAATTGATGAAAATACCTTTACGAATTAGTGAGATTACTTATGGTCCTTATAACCATTCTATGTAACTTATGTTTATAATTCACGACTCTGTAAACTTGTTGTTTCTTTTTCTTTGCCACCTGGGCTCAATTCATAGCAAATTTATACGGTTTTGTGGCTCAAATCACAAATCTCTTTCGCGTGAAAGAACAGCGCACCGATTCGCCATAAAACGCGATTGGATACTGCACACAGTAATCTGCCTTGTTTGGCATAATGTAGGAAACCAACACAGAACAAACAACGAGCCGCAAAACCGTATAAAATGGCCATAAGTTGAGCCCAGGTTACACAGAAAAAGCAGCAACAAACCCAAGTCTACATTAGTGAAATTTATGTCTACATTTATACCTATATTTCTACGTTTTAACAACTACATTGAATTTCTCATACAAAGTCTATAAACCTGGTAATATACTGACCGATATCAAAACGCGCGGTAATTTATGCAGCGAGCTTGGTCCCCTGTGGTTATTAATTTTTTTGCAAAAAATGACTATTAGTACGCAACATATGCTTTAGTCTCGTTTCTAGCCAACCTGTTAGCCCTCATGTGCGAGATTTTCGGTTCTAACAGGTAAAACGATTCCAAAAACATTTACAAATTGTTAGGTTTTACCGAAATGTATGCCTTTTTCGTTGAAATGATTGGAGTACTCGACTGTGAAACACGTGAGGAACCCACGTTTAATAGTGAGTGCAATTTGTCACCCATTATATTATCACGTACTCAAACGTACCAATCGCACGCCTTATCATTTTCTTTTTTAATTGGCGATATGTTTGTTTATAGCTTAAATCAAAGCCCACTTGATCTTCATATTAAGTTAGACGCCTGCAATAACCTATCATGACTTTGGGGAGTATTAGTGTAACCATCACAACAACAAAATTAATTACGAAGAACGCGCCAACATCAGTAATTGCTGGTCGAATTTAATAATGGTACTATAAAAATGACCTCATTACAAATTATTGATGTAATAAACATTGAATGGATGAGTGTAATCTCTTGACCTACTATGCTGGTAATTCTCAAGTGATTTATCTACACAAACGTACTTGTTTAAAGGAATCTTCTTTCCTCTTGGCCATAGTCTTATGAACTCCGATAGGAAGTAGAAATAAACATTTACCAACCCGATAAAACAAATACTCAGGTCAATGGCTCTACTTTAAAGGAGTTGCCATAGAAACTACAGAATATACAACCCTATAACACTCGTTACAACTCTCAGGGGATTTCTTTATACACCGGAATGTTTTGTCCTATGACAAAAAAGTGCTTGAAAATGCAAATCCGCCAAAATTAACAGTACAACAGGTGTTATTACAGAACATAAGCTTTTGTGTTCCGTATCTGTCCGTTGTTGCCGATTGACCGACAAGTTATTGCTTTAATTAAAATTTGAATGATTGCTTAACTCAGCGTGCATCACTTTGTTTGTACAGTTCAAAACCTGCGCGGAACGTAAATATTTAAACTAGAGAAGTGGACATCAAAATGTTTAATCAGCAGTGTGAACAGCTCATTTGAACTGACAAACAAAGATTGCCAGTGATGGCTGTGGGCGAAGAAAGAATGTCTTCCGCACCACATGGGATTCGATGGTTTTCTACGCAGAGCAACAAAAATCTGGCAAGAAAACAAAAGGTGAAAACAGGAAAGAAACTGTCGAATTTAGAAGCTCTTTACAAACTAGGAGATGGGAAACGTGAAGCTAAATCTACACAAGCCCTTCAGTGCTTTCGACTTACAGTTCATTCACCAGTTGAAAAACCTCCGCGGATTCGAAGGAAGACATCAAACACTAGCTCACTAGATTCGAAACTTTCAAAGAAGAAAAGCGAAAATCTAGATTACGCCTATGTCTTTGTCGAAGAAACTGAGATAGAAAAATCGATGAGAGAACGTTTAATAAGCGAAGTAAAACAACAGAACTGGGTGGAAAGCGACAACAAAGCTCAACACGACCTGAGCCGGTTATCGTCTCCACGTTTTTCTCTAAGAAAAGGAAACGCAACAACGCAAGGCTTTTACAAAAGCAAATCTTCATCCTGCTTCATTCCCAGATCACATTACTGTAATCGCTTAGTGCATATGGATAAAGATGAGTTTTCTAGGCAGTTCTGCGATGTTCTTGGTCCTACGTTATGTGCCGACTGCACCCGAACACAAATGCAACAATTTGTCATCGACGAGCACACCCGGAACTTTCCCGACATCTGCGTTTCTCCTTATGTGTTATGCGTACCGCAAGAGACCGAAAGAGACTTGAAGACCCCTTTTACGGTGTACAGAGACTGTGACC